GAACCTCCCAAGCTCTCAATCTGGTCTCCACTTGCTTTACAGGTGGGAGTTCCTACCTTCCTCTGTATCCCAAAGCCTCCCAGGGCTAGATTTGGTCATCCTTTTCAGATTCAAGGGTGGAAGTTTCTCCCTTCTGGGATACTAACCTCTAAGGACCATGCTATGACCTTCTACAGTCATAAGTCTGAGGTTTCTTATAACTTATTTTCAAGCAGGTGATGCCATTTATGACATGCTGCAGTGGTGCCTAGGAGGACCCGTTGTTTTAATGTTTCTAACAAAGGTTACAGCTCCCAGCAATAATATGTTCCATTTTAGTGACCTATTCTGAGAAGGAGGTTTACACAGCAGGATCTTCACTGCAGGAAAGCATGGCTGCAATCTGCTCTAACTAATGCAAGGTAAAGGCTCTGATTATAGACAAACTGCCAACACCACCTTTGGTCAGGCAAGGAGTAGGATATAGGATGCTTGATAATGTAGAATGATCATGCATCTCCACGAGACGTATAATATGGACGATGTTAATGACCGACTTCCAATATGCTGATGAATGCATACAGTATGTTAATCTCAGACTCCTAGAAAGGGCTCTGGAGGCACTACAAGGCTCTTCGCCTTTTTGTGGTAAAGAGTCACAGTGAAAAAATTCAACAGAAAGCCCCTGTATTGAGTCACAAGCTATGTCCTATCCATGCTTTCAGTTGCCTTTCCTCATGCAAGTCTCATGAACCACTTCTCTTACAATAGCTGTCTCCAAAATTTGCTGTGGCCACCAGGGAGGGGGTCTTGAGAACGGCACACAGACTTAATTTCAGCTTCAGAGCTGCACATTCCCAATGTCATTTGGGGCAGCCTGTCCTGGGACTTGCTCCTGAATCCAGGTCTCCCATGGGGTAGCACATGAATCTACCTTCCATATCATTTAGCACAGCGCTTCTCAACCTGTGGGTCGTGACCCAAACACGGGTCGCAAGAATATATGAAATGGTTGTGAATAAACTTTAAAAATAGATCAAACTTAAAAAATGGATGCTCCTTTAAAAGGAGAAGAACATGGGAAATGGGCTTTTCTCTTGCAGGCTGGCAGAGCTCCAGCCTGCAAGAGGCTGTACACCCCCTCAACTGCCCCACACACTGGGGAGCTGGGGCCTGGGGGCAGTGGGTCGGGAGTGAGGGGCACTGGGTTGGGACTGGTCATTGTGTACAAATGGGTCCTGGTACAAGAAAGGTTGAGAGCCACTGACTTAGCAGACTGAACTCCTCTATTTGAAACAGAAAAGGTGAGCTCTGAGCTCTCTCACAAGGTAGGTTTTAGATAAGAAGCATGCCTCTGTTCTCGGTGGTGAAAGGTTTTCGAAGTCTTATTAATATTCCCAATAAGAGCCTGTTATGTGTATGTGCTTGTTCTGCCACCTCGCTATTGCCTCGTGCAGACTGCAGGACCCAAGAAGAGCTCTGCAGGCACAAACAACCAGGCCAAGGAGCAGTGGGAAGAGTGAGGAACACCAACCACTCTTAAACGCGAGTACACGTAGTTCCAAACGCGGTCACAGACTTACCTTTCCTCCCCCAGGCTGATGCTTAATGTTATCTGTGGATCCAATTTTGGAGCGTACGTTCTTCAGGTCTGGGGCAGAAACACTGCTGGTTGGGCGAGATGGCTTGGATGTGGTGCTGGTTTTCAGCGGAGCTTTGGCTGCCAATGGTTTTTTAGCATCTGCATTTGCACTAGAGGCTGTGGCGGGTCTGGTGGCAGCTGGCTTGGGTTTGGGGCGACTGGTGGCAACTCCAGGTGAAGTCATAGTAGTAGTAGGGGTGGTAGCAGTAGAGGTTGTGGTGCTACTCTTCAGCGAGTTTCCAGGAGTACTCCTTGGGCGGCTCAAGTCAGCTGCAGTAATCATAGAAGAAAGGAGAGGTTGGGGGAAATGTCGTTCGTGTCAAACAGAACATGTGCAGCTGTGAAGGAGCTAGCGACCCATTGAACAAACGCTCCTGCCATCAAACAGACCTGGGGGCAGAGGCAGGAACTGATCCAGATTACCTGATGGTGATTTCACAGGGGTCTTCTTGGCATCTGCAGGCTTGGTTTCAGTCTTGATAGCTGCAGAGCAGAAACATAATCAGCCTTCTCTGCATTATTTCAGTATAAACAGATTCATTACCACCACTCGGAGTGAAAACCAAAGCACGCAAGCAACCCTTCAGGGTGCTGGCACTATTTCTTGGAGAGGCCAGACATTCTCTAGCATTGCTCGGGTATCACGACTCCCACACCGCTTCTCAGTGGCAATCCTCCTCCCTTGCTACTTGTTTTGGGGTTACACTCTTTCCTGGCCTTGGGAGGGAGCATCTTATTGCACACAATACAGCGCAGCTCATGGCTCAGATCAACCCAGTTTGAGGCAAAAATAATTCTTGAAAACTCAGGAAAGTTCAAACTTGGCAAGGGCTGCAGATGGGGAGAGGGGATTTGGGGTTTTACTCTCTTCTTTTTAAATAGAAAGCGTTTTCCCCGCCTTACAGCAATTACTCTTTCTAGAAACATTCACCTTCCAACACCTTTAAAATCAGCCTGTCTATGCACCCATTCAGGTTGCCTTTATTGGAACAGTTTATGGCCTTTTCTCAACTTTCTTCACCACACGATAAAAGCAGGATTGTTGCTGTTTGAAACCTGTTTGCCTTTATTTAGCCACAACCACAATACCATCGCTAACATGATCATTTTACCCAATAATTTTCCAGTACACAAGGTAATGCACCCAACGCAAGATAATTATTTTGGACCTCATAACAACAGATAAAGAAGAATTAATCACTAGACCAGAAATTGGTGGTTGCCTAGAGACCAGCGACTATGACCTGATTGTATTCCATATGGGCAGAGACAGGACAGGCAAATTTTTCAAAGCTAGGAAAAATTATATGCAAAATTTGTTAGGAGGAAGAAGATAAATGAGAATTGGGGGGTTTGCCAACAGGAGTTTGATGGGCAAAAAGCCACAATTCTGCTATCAAAAAAAGGCAACTTTGTCCCTTCTGAGTCAGTGACAAAGTGCAGACAGTAATTCGAAATGTAAAAGCAACATGTAACAGGTGGGAGAAAAGGTAAGTTATGAAGTACAAAACAAGTGATAAAGGAAGCTGAGGGATTTGATAAAAATCTGTGGCTGGAAGAGCTAAGGATGCTAAGAAGCTTTTTTATTTACAAGTAGATTAAAATCAAGAAGTCCTAGCTATTGGACATAGCCCCAACATTAGATGACGTTGGGAAAGTCATTAATAGTGGTACAGAAAAGGCAGAAGTGCTCCATAAACGTTTCTTTTCTGTACCTGAAAAGCAACAGGCTAATGTTAGAGGGTGAAGCTGAAGTACATGCCAGCCTATTAATAATAAAGGAAGATGCTGATCATCATCTAGCAGGGATCTATCTTCTTAAAATCGACTCCTCCACGCAACTTATATCCAGGAGTCCTAAAAGAACTGTCTGGTGAGATTTTTGTCCCACGGATATTTATTTTGCATTCAGCATCCTTGAACTCTGGGGAAATCCCAGATGCCTGGAAGAGTGCTAATGTGCCAGCAGGCAAAATGGGTATGGAAGAGGTGCTGGTCTACTCTAGGCCCTTAGGCTGACAGCAGCCTTTTCGGGCATTGGTAAGGACTTGGTATGTTGCCACGTGAGAAATAACTAGTTGGGACAGGCAACACTGCCTGCCACAAGAACCGTAAGGTGGGGAAGGAACCTGCTGAAGGGCAGGTGCTGAAGGAGGAGCTACTGGACTGGAAGGGATGTTTCTAGTGTAGAATTGCAAGGATCCGTCTTAGGATCAATTTACTTATCCCCCCCCAGCAACCTTGGCAACAAACAAATGAAAACCAATGCTATTCTGATGAAACGTGTTGACTACAAGGTTGGGGGAGACTGTCAGCACAGAGGAGGATCAGATCATCACACAGGAAGAACCGGGTGACCTTGAAGATAGATGTACCAATGCAAAAGTCACGCACGTAGGAACCAATAACTAGGATTTCTGCTCATAAATTGGAAACGATGGAGGATGAGAAAGACCTGAGCGTACTAGTTAAGTCACAGACTAATGATATGATGCGGTTATGAAAAGGGCAAATGCAACCTAGAATGAATCAGGTGAGGCAGCTCCACAGCCACAGGGAAATACTAATGCCCTGGTAATAGGACTTCACTTTGAGCGCTGCATACCAGCCGGCAACCCACGTGTCAGGAAGATGGATTCAGACTGACACAGGACAGAGAAGGGCTATGAGCACGATCGGGGGGCTGGAGACTTTGTTTTAGAAGAGCTTGGCTTGTTTAGCCTCAGGGAATGAAGAACGAAGATATATGATCACTGCCTATAAATACAACAGGACAGGAAGCACTAGGGGAGGGAAAAAAGAGCTATTTAAGCTAGGGCTGTTCAACTTCTGAGCTCGGGGGCTGCAGGGCTCCCAGCCACAGGGTGCATCATGCTGCGCCGCACCAGGTGTTGCTCACCTCTCACCGCGCTGTGTGGCAGGCACCCCCACTGCACTGTGCCCATACTCCCACGCCATGTAAGGTCCCCGAGCCTCCTGGCTGTGGGCTCTGCTGCTCTGTCCGCAGACAGACATGGGTGGCAGAAGCTGGAGGGCAGAGGGAAAACCCAGAGACTCCAGCAGCAGAACCATGCAGGGAGCAGTGCCCTGGACCAGGAGCCTGGAGACAACAGGTTATCCCACCTCAAGGGCCGCAGCAGCCTGAAGACCACCTCTTGGGCAGCCCTGATTTAAGCTGAATTGGTATTGGCACCAATTAAGTATATGCTGGCCAGGAAGGTGTTTTGGCTGGAAATAAGAAGGTTCTCAATGATAAGGAGTGAGATCATCTTTGCCAGGAGATGGACCTTGAACAGTCCAGTAAACAGGGTGTCTAACACAGCTGCATGGGATAGCAGGGGATGGACCTCTGTAAACCACAAGATCCCTGTCACTCCTCTGTTCAAACCCAAAACAATGGGAAAACTGAGATGAGATTCAGTTAATCAAGAACAAGAGGCGAGGAATACCACTGCAATCCGCATGGTTTCGTGGGAAATGCGTCTTGCCAAAGGACCCAGTTTCTTCCTTTGAAAAGTCTGTTACCTCTGTGCAGCAGTCTCAAAGGCAAAAAGAGCTAAAGGCGAGTGGTGGCTGTGCATGCAGGAGAGTGGCAAATAGGAAGGCAGTGATTTGAGCTTAGTATATGGCCTTAGTGAGAGCCATACAAAACTGTGTCCAATTGTGGCATCTATTTTAAAAAGGTGGCTTTAAAAGCTAGAGAAGCAGCAGAAGAAAGCCACAAAACTGGTGTGATGGCTAGAGCAGATGCTTTACAGCAGGGGTGTCGACCTCAGATCAGTAGGCAGGCCTCATTCCCTGCCAGCAGACGGGATTAACACGACCACTGCTCCCCCCATCGCTGATTGCCTCCAATTTCTGCTGATTTTCATCACCGATGGCAATCAAAAAAAGCTACCTTCAGTGGTGGCAAAGGGTGTGGGGGGGAAGCAGGGGTGGCATTAACCCCTTGGGTGCTGGCAGGGAATACGGCCCACCAACTAATATGGGTTCTACATTGCAACCGGGAACTGGCTCTGCTCACACAGCAGTCCCAGACACAGCAGTCTCTCCTTCCGGTTCCCCATGAGCCAGTGCAGACCATGGGCAGTGAGAAGCCCTGTGGATCCCCAGCTGTAGGTCTGACAGCCCTGCTTTACAGCAGCAGCTTTCGGGCACAAACAGATGCAACCCTTGCCCGGGTCTCAAAGGATGCTGATAGAAGGCTTGGTAGTGATTCGCCTCCCCTTTGACGAAGGTTAAAAGTTGCATCCGTCCATAGCCTTAGAGAAAACTCCGGCTGTTTCTCATAACAAAGACGACAGAGAGGTGATGGAGTGGATAAGTAGTTAGTCGGGTGCAAAACCCAGGGTACGAAAGGACTCCAATCTAGCAAAAAAGACAGGGCAAGAACAATAGGCCAACGAGTGAAGCCAGGCGCTTTCCAACTAGAAATAAAGAGCATGCTTCACAGTGGCAGCGATTAACTACTGGAACAGGCTGATTCTCCATCTCTTGAGGTCACGACGTCCAGGCTAAAAACTCTTCTGAAACACAGTCTTTACCAAGCAGAAGCTATTAGGCTCACGCAGGGTGAAATTAAGGCTTTGATCCATAGGTCAGGCTACTTTCTCCCACATTCTTCTGGCTTTGAACTTCATGGACCTACATGCCTTCAATTCTCGGTTTCTCAGATCTATGAATCACTGCGTGACTCCACCTCTCCTACATTTTTCACCGCTATCCCAAACGCCCACTCTCCGGACACCCGCAGTGCGTTCTCTGCCATCGCATCTTCCAGGAACAGGCTCTCCACCTCCGCCCATTGCCTTTGTTGGCTTTTCCCCCCCATTCCCAGTTCTAGACTAACTCTGCTTTTCAGCTCCTTGTGGATCTGCTCCGGTAGACCTTCACACTCTGCCCCTCAGCCGTGCAGCAGCGGGTCTCATGCACTGTCGGTGCTGGAGGCTTTCCCCTCTGCAGTTCCTGCCATCTGGACCAGCCTTCCTGCACCTCTGCTCCTTGATCTTGCCTCCCTTCAGATCTCATCTCCCCATACTTATGCCTCAAATCGCTGCAGGACAAGAAGCTAACTGAACTGAAGTCATTAAAATCTAGAAAGCCTTCTGGACTAGGCACGAAAGACAAAGGTGAAAGACGGAGCTCATGGTGGAGTCGGTGGCCCCTTGCCCCC